AAAGATTCCCCTCGTAGAAAAAAAAAAAAAAAAAAAAAAAATATCAGTTTAATCAAATATGTTTTAGGCTCCGTGAATATTGGCAGGTAGGTTTTATATTGCAACTGCGTAGGTCGGCATAGCAAATATGAACACGTGCTGTAAATATTAACTTCAATACAAAATCGAACTTAATACGTATGAATAAGACACAAAATACATATTAAAGATTAAGTCTATTTCATATATTCGTTTTCCGGGAAGCAAATATTTTTTTATATGTTTATTCTTTTTTTTGGTATCTTGAACCGCTGCTGTTTATATTGCGAAGTATTTCCAGGTTAGGTCCATGTTCCCGTGAGAAAAATCCTTGTTCAATATTATATTGAAAACAAATGATTTTGTTAGTCAAAATAATAATAAATATGCTAAAAGTATTCGACCAAATTCGATCGATACTAGAGATGAAGCTAATACGGGTTTAACAGAATTAGAATATTGGCACAAAAATATGTTTACTATTTACTATTACTCAAATATTTTTTTTATCTACTTGAAGCTTAATTCAGTCTGCTTGATAATTTTTTATTCTTACAGTGATTATTTTTATAATTAGTTAATTATTTCATACCATGTTTGTAACATTAAATATATCGATTTTAGAATTACACTTGCTAAGTGTATGTGTGGCTCATACGTCAGTCTCTTCAATATCCTCCAGTTTCCAAAGTATTCCATTTCCCATTGAACGGTGTGCTGTGACAATCCTGACACTTGAAGTCGATGGAAATGAAATTCTTATCGGCCTCATTTCCACACACGTTATTTATCACCCATTTCACGTCAAATGTTCAACCCTGTCGCATCATACCGGAAAGTACCCAAAAAAATATTCAATATTTTCGTGACATTAATTGGATATATATAGCGGTGTCGCATTTGACGTGTCTTTATTGAGATGGTAATGATTTATTGGTACAGGTTTTTGGGTGACGTCATTGAAAACATTTTAATGCTAAATTGTTTTAATACTGATGAGATATTCAATACGTGACCGCTGTCACACCCCTCGCCGCCTTCGATCGTTATATTATTATTTATTACGTCGTCACTATAACTAGAAAAATTCTAGAATACGTTACGTTATTATTGTTTATTGAAAACGAATTTCTTTGAATATATCTGACTTTTTAATATTATTTTTTTCTTAACACAGTCTTGGCGTCAGAAGTTTTTTGTTTCTGGTCATTGACAGTGGAATAAATGCTTTGTATGAAGATATCGTTCGATAACTTTGATTAATATCGGTCATGTATAAAGTTGAATAAATTCATATAAAACAAGAAAATTTACTGTGAACATAAACTTTAATCGATATATTTTATTGTATTAAAAAAAATAACACAGAATGAATAAGGAAATATATTTACACATTTTTTTATACAATCCGTATCTATATATTTATTGCTATTTATTTGTCAAGCATTAATCATTATCTGCCTTCATTATTAGTGGATTATTGATAGTTATGAAGTGACCCGACTATGACACCGCATGTTTGTGGTCGAATCATGAATTTCTCGAAATAACAGCGTATCCGCAGCGTACCACAGGACTCTACTTGTTAGGACTTGTTAGAACTGGAACGATTTGATCCTGACTAGGATGTGTGACGTGATGTCCTAACTACATTTTACCTTTATTTTCCTTAATTCCTTAATCTTTCATCATATATCTCAATAGTCTATATCGTCTATATGAGTATTTCTCAAAAAATTTAGAAATTGTAGTCCTGAGTCTTTGCTGCTAAGTCAGATGATTTAATTATAGTTATTCCTTTTTCATTTCAATTTATGCTGTCCTATACTACTGTCGCTGATAAAGAAAACGTGAAATTATAAATAAAAAAATATATATAAGCAGCAGCAACTCCGAAAATCATTCCCTCATCTTGTCCCTTACTCCAAAACCCTTTACTAAAAAGTCTGTTCGTCACAAAACATTTTTTTTTCATTATACCTAAAAATTCGACATTTGATAAGAAATACCCATATATATTTTTTTGACAATATTAACAAGTGCCTAGTAAAAATATCAGTAAAGTAATAAATGTTTCCTAATAAAAGTGCAAGCAAGTACTTGCTTTACAGATCCGTAATTCCAATGAGGTCATGCCATACGTCGACATGTGAACTCAGTTATATACATGATCAAACATGTTCCGACTATAGAATAAAACTGGCAGTGATCTTACGTTAATTGTATTACTATTAAAACATGCATAAATATACATTTTAATTTTTCTAACATTAGTACTATGTTGTTTAATTTTTTTATGTACTTTCTTCATATTTATTTACATATGAAAACATTTATAGTTCTTGAATCATAAACAAAATGGAAAAATTAATTGAATAAGACATTTCTGTTTGATCGTTTTCTTTTATAACAATCATTAGATTCAGTAATGGCTAAAGATATCTAACTATTATTACCTATGTATGTATATTTGAATCGTTTTATTTTAATAGTTGGATGAATTCTTTGTACTAATGTATTTATAATTGACAGTCCATCAAACTACTAATGATCTAAATTGTCTTCAACGTGATTTAAACAGTTATAGAAAACTAAATTAATGTATTTAACATTGGAAAGTGTTCCATACTACAGACAGGAAAGTGTTTTAAAGTAGTCGTTTTAAATGGTATTAGGAATTACACACACACATACACATATAACATATACAATATAGATATTTATAAATATGTATGTGTTTGTTTTTTATTACATAATTGACGACGTTTTAATCACGGCCAGTGAAAACTATTCGCCGTAACCTCTATGAGGACGTTTGATTTGGCCGCTCACCAATAGATAAATTTGCATTGTCTATTTTTGCTCCCTTCATAAAGATATCGCTAATGTGTTTTCTTTCTAGTCTTAGAAATGTTATTGTTATGAAAAAGATAGATTATTATCAATTTTTAAATAATACATTATGTTTATCAGGTCGACTTTTTAATTATTATGATACAAATACGACATATAATATTAATTTTATTAGTTATTAGTAATCTGCTTCCTTATAATATAACGTCAAGAAAAATCTTATATGTCTGTGAAAGTAATATTATAAACACATTAATACATCCATATCCAAAGATCCATACAAATTTTCATTTCACGAGTACGGATATCGTGACCTTTAAACGTAATGTAATTTATACAAAGAGGATTTCTGTACATTGGTTGCTATCAGGTAAATCTGTAGAAGGCTTGTCAATATACCTCCGTGTTAGAATTATTTAACAATAGACCTGACCTTTAAGACAGCTGGCGCGTTGCGGCCATGTCTTGGACTACCGACGAGGCTATACAAGATCTATTATATTTTTAATATTCCTTTCAAAATGCTTGTGTGATATTAAAGATACTTATTTGTAATCTTTAATCTTACTTCTTTAATGTTAACTAGTTTATCTGATTTGGTTTCGTTATGTTAACCAACTGTCAGCGACATCTGTTGTCTGTTTTAAATTACTACATATGTACAAATGTTATGAGTAGGGCCCGGATAAATATGTATTAAAAAATCTAAAATATGGACGAAAAAATCAAAAATGTGGAAAAAATATGGAGTATAAAATTAAATGCTTTCATAATTAAACATTGTTTTACTATAAGAAAAGGGTCACTCGTGACGTACATCGTTAAGTTACATTTAAAAACCGATGAAAAAAAGTAGTGAAATATTTATTTCAACAAAAAATAACAGTTTTATTCAACTTCCATTACACTAGCCTTATCAAATTGGTTGCAATGCAATACACAATGACGTGCTTCTTTAAATTATCAAAATTCAAAACTCTGACGATTTAGTCGAAATATAGCCTTATATCTGCTGATTGGTCTCATCTCAAGTCACATGACGTGTTGGGTGCATACTTAAACATGCTTAATTCAGTAATTTTGTAAGCCATGTCTACAGCCCTCGAAACTTTCGCACAGAATTTTGTTATTTTTTTTAGCGTATTTAATCCTTTATTTTTATCCAAAGCAGTATTAATAAGTATTTTTGTGAATATATGGATGATTGTGACATTTTCTTGTAAAATATGGACTTAACTTTGAAATATGGTAAAATATGGAAAAATAAAAGTTGGTTTTTCACAGTCTAAATATGACAGTCCATGTAAAAAACACATTTTAGACCGAAAATCGCGTAAATTAAAAATATGTATTAACATATTAATCCGGGCCCTAGTTATAAGGTATTCCCGTATATATTTTAAGGAATGAACAGTTAACCTTATTATTATTCTGAGGTAAAAGCTATTGTAAAGCATCATCAAGATACGTTCAATATATAACATATTCTCAAACAAGAATACTCTATATATTTTCAGAAGCTTTCCTATCATAAAATTAATAGGACAGTATGTTTAATATACTCTCGTGGTTTTGCGTGAAAACTGTATACTTAAAAACAAATAAAAATATATATTATTAACAAGGAAATATATAACCTTTTAGCAGTCTTAAATAACATATTTCAAGGTTATGTACGTTTTTAATTCGTGAATGTTTTATAAATTAACTGGAGCAGCACAAGCATTCGACGATTCTCGTTTAGTTATGCAATCGTCTTGCGATCAAAGTATTTACGAAGGCTTAAGATAAGCTTCAACTAATTAAAACTTATTATAGAAATATTATTACAAAATCTTTATAAATATATAGAAATCTTAAAGGCTATAGATTTCAGACAGAATTTATATGATGTTTTATACATATTTATTTTGTACGAATTACCATATGTTTATTATTTTTTTCGATACCAATTCTCTATTTTGATATGATGAGAATAACCGTTACAAAATGATAAAATAATAACCGTTACAAAATGATAAAATAATAGCAAAAAACAATATGTATATAAAGTTTCTAGTAGTCTCGACGTAAATTTTTAGTTTTATTTAAATGTACCTATATACAATAATATGAATATTTGTCCTCAGATCGGTAGATCATCAGAGTCTCCGATAGACTTCGTGGTGATGGACACAGTGGCCGGTGATAAGACTGGTGATACCAAAGTGTTACAGAGCACCATATCACGTTTCGCTTGCCGCATACTGTCCGATAGAAATGACGTCAACAATTGCCGCATATACGCCGCTGGGTTCGATTCTTCTAGGAATATATTTCTTGGTGTAAGTTAGAAAAATATAATGTTTCTAATATTTTGGTTAGTTGTTTGTTTAAAATATGCCCTTCATTCGTGCAAAGACGTGCATTTCTACTGTGTAACGTAACTATTTTGTGACTCGACTATTTTGTAGGTAGGTTTGAAATTCTATAAGTATTTTTTTCCTAGTATATTAATGTTTACTTTATGTATTATTACAGGAGAAGGCCACTAAATGGACGGAGAATCACGAGATAGACGGTCTGACTACCAACGGCGTCCTCATCATGCATCCTCGTGGTGACTTCTGCGGCGGTAGCGCCACCTGTGGTCCGTGGCGCGAGACCTCCGTCGGTGGAGCTGTGTTCTCACTGAGAGAGAGCCGCTCCGCTCAACAGAAGGTTATTGGAATTTTGACTCATTTAAACTAACAAAGATACTAGTTTTTGTTTCGATTGCTTCTAAGATTGGTCCAATTTTTATTTGCATTACCAAATAGCGAAGATTTTTTGGTAAAAACTAGGTATAACTAAAAATTGACATAATTTTAATCAACTACCATCCGCTGAATTTAACAATAGTTCCAGAAGTAGAAAGGATTCCTGTACTTTTGGAGTTATAATTTGATAATCTATAAGGATTTTCTCTCATACATCGTACTAATATAGTTGTCATTATAAATCATTTCTCATAATATGTATATCATATATTTCCAGGGCTTGCCGTGTCAGGCGGAAACAAACGTTCTTAGAGACGGAACAATGATCGACCTGTGTGGAGCTACGCTGCTGTGGAGAAGTGCTGAGGGATTAAAGAATTCACCCGTAAATATAATTTAAACTTGACCTAATTATCTAATAAAAAAATCTATCAATATATGAAATTACGTAGTATCGGTCTAAATGATACTAACATTTGCAACCGTGATCACGAGCAGACGAGATGGTCACGGTTGCTACAAAGTAACCGAAACGTCGTTATATGTAGTTTTAAAAAGTAATATGTATACGTTTAGTACATGCGAAAATATTAGTTTCATTTAAATGAAACTAACGAAAGTCCTAGATAACATTAGCATCTGCCTTATTTAACATGAGCCTCAATAATGGATTTTAAAATAAAAGCACTAAATATAATGTCAACGATTTATTCAACATTATTATTTTTGTATATCTTGGTCCCAGATACTTCACATTTAAAAATAAGCGGTCACCATACTAATACTCATATTAATCTTATAAACAGACGAAGCGTGATCTTGAAGCACTAGTAGACGAGCTGAACGCCGGCCGCCCGCAGTGTCCCGTAGGTCTTAATACACTGGTCATACCTCGCAAGCTCTCCTCGGCCCACCAAGACTTGAACCAGCCTTACGTTTACCTCAACTGTGGACATGTTCAAGGTATTTTATCAGTTACGACGAAAACTTTAACAACTGTCAATGTCTCAACCAACTGACAGAGCTGTCAGAAGTGACATAAGGCCGTACTCACACGTCGTATGTTTATAAATTTATGATTGTACAGTGTACAGTGAAGTGTTTTTTTTTCACTTTGTGTGAAATAAATTATTATTTGTACCGTATTGTTACGTATCTGGGGCATCGATTATTTAATTCGATGTAATGGCACATCAAGGTTGTTTATTTAAGAATACACACAAAAGAATCTGAATTCTGATGTGATTATCATTACGATTTAATTATGTTAAAAATACCAAAGTACAATGATGTTACCTGTCTTTTATTGAAGTTTATATAAAATTATTACGAATACATAGCTATTTGTATTAGAATAATATCTTTATATATGATAATATGTTTCCAGGTGAACATTCGTGGGGCGCGGAAGGCAGTGAGACGGGCGTACGTCGTTGTCCTATGTGTTTAACAGCAGGGCCTGTTGTTCGTGTTTGTATGGGAATAGAACCAGCCTTCTACGTTGACTCCGGACCTCCAACATACGCCTTCAACCCCTGCGGACACATGGCTTCAGAGAGAACAGTCAAGTTAGTTTTATACTTATTATTTTTTTAATTTGTGTAATGCGAACAATTTATTCTGCCAATGTCATGTCACATGTGACAGTATGAAGATATATACATATCTAATTATAACAAATAGTCCATCTTAGCGATGTATAGACTCCAAAGTGCAAACTATACAGGGTGACTGGTGAATTACTATCAATATTTAAGGACAATACTCGGTACATGACTCTCATTCGAATTATGTAAAAAAAATAGGTAATTAATTTTTGACCAAATTTCCGTATAAATAAATAAAGTGTGGACACGTTCCAAGTGATCCAAGTGTGGACGCGTGCGGCGGCATGCTGATACAACACCACGCCGCCGCACGCGTATGTGTGAGTGTGTGTGTATACCTAATCTGTAGGGTGTTCACACGATGCGTAATTAATTACATAACTTTTGGTTAACTTTACTTAGAAGTTTATTAATATTTATGTTATTTTAATTTTTATTTTGTCATATATGATCGTCAAATATCACGTCCTCAAATATCGATAGTAATTCACCAGTCACTCTGTATATTTGGATATTTCTATAGAACGATACTTTTTTTTTTGAAGAGAATTACGAATATATTAGTGTCTCAAACGACGAAAGGTTTCCATAAATTTCATTGAATCGCCGGCTTCTGTTGTAAATTATTTTTTAGAATTTCAATCGGACATTATCGGCCTTATATTTAAATGGTCTGAGAGCTTTAAGGGACAATTATTAAAATAATCAATAAAGGAATATGAAAAGTGTTTTACTATACTATATGTGTTTCACTTCCTCAACAACGATGAGCCATGGCTTTAGGTATTTCCTTATTTCTTAATAAAGTTAAAATAAAAAATAAGTTACAGAAAGTTATGTACATAATAAAAATCTTAAGTTAAATTCCTCCGAATGCTTTACCAGTTTCATATAAATATCTGTATATAAAAGAAAGTTGTGTTAGTTACTATATTTATACCTCAAGAAAGTCTGTAGGGATATGATTGAAAATTGGTGGGGAGGTAGCTTAGTACCAGGAGACGGACATAGGACATTTAATTCTGATTGAAAAAAGACACTTAATAAATTCCATATCTGGTTATTTATGGCTTGTAAAGCAGAATAAAATTATCATGTATATTTATTATCAATATTATATTGTCATAATATTATTTCTTCAGATACTGGGCGACGGTGGACATCCCCCACGGTACGAACGGCTTCCACGCCATCTGTCCGTTCTGCGCGGCTCCGCTGCAGGGCTCGCCGGGGTACGTGCGGCTCATCTTTCAGGACAACCTCGACTGAATCTCCTCATCACCGCCTCTATCCTTATATATACAGGTACGACCGCCATCTTGGTTTTTTAAATTATGTATGTGTTAACGAACTAATGTATAATGCGTTTAATATATATTTTAATTAATGACTTTCAACATGTTTCGTCATAGAAATTTATTCCATTTACCCAGATTTTGTTCTTATAATATTGTCTAAATATTTAAAAAGTCAGTGGTGGCCTAGTGGTTAAAAGCATGAAGGCGCGGGTTCGATCCTGGCAAGTACCAATGTGATTTACCGAATCATATGCACTTTCTGAGAGTATTTAGATTTTAGACATTACCGATTAATGCATTCCCTAAGAAGGTTGATGTTAGGCAAGCCGGTCGTAAACAACAATTAGCCAAACTATTTATAACATGTAAGGCAGACCCTGGCTGAAGCTGGGAAATTGCCAAGTAGAAGAAGTAGAAGAAGAAGAATATTGTCTAAATATTTAACTTTTCATATTAAGAAAAGAATAGTAACAAAAAAAATTGAGTGTTTGTTTTTTTTGCGGTTCTATTATATTTTTCCTATCATAGTGTCTGCCTGTCTGCGTTCGTTTCTTAAATTATGTAATTAATATTTTGTTATTTTCTTTCCAGATTATTCCTCGGCCGTAAAGCTGTTTACGTCATAGAGGACAATGTTAGCGCGTTCATATTTATTTAGGTTCAGCCTGCTTCAACTCGGACGCGAATGGTTCATACAATTAATGCACCGAAATTATAAAAATACAGTTTATAAAATACCAAACCAATGTGATAGAAGCTGTGAACTTTATAAATAACCACTGATTTTTTGCACACCAAATATAAAAAGAGATTGTATGAAATTGTTCGATATCCCAGCACCCGCTACACTGATTTAAGTTTTATTATGATAATTTTACTGAAACGCAATAAAAGCCTACTATATATATTTATAGAAGTCACGTTTGCATTGCGCTCGGTACATCATTGATGTCTATAGATACTGACGTCTACTTTTATCGTTGGTTGTTAAGGATTCAATGTAGATACGGTAGTATGTATGTAAGGATATACATGTTTTAATTGAATTTAAATTAATTATTTATTATTAACAAAAAAAAAGAAACAAAATTACGACCTGTTTGAGGATTCTCTATGGTCCGTTTAACTGTGTGATTACAATTAAATAGTTCAATTAATTAATTCGATTATTTCAACCATAGACTAACAGATCCTCAAACAGGTCAAGCGATTTATAACTGAGAGCTATTTTGATGATAAAATAGACTGATATATATTTATTGGTTCATATGATTGATGCAGAATATTTTTTAAAAGAATACTTAAACAATGACAATGCATTGGATGTGAACGTGTTTATTATAAATGATATTGGTCTAGTTTTCTAAGATGTGTATAGGAAATAGGACGGACATATGAAATGCGTGTGAGTGACAACACACGTTCAGCTCAGACGGCTAATACAATCAACGGAAGCGTCTCCTCGAGTGATATAATATTAATCAATACAACATTCAGTGACATGATTGTATCGATAATGAAAACAAAAAGAAATATTTTTTATCGAATCGATTATATTGAGATGTAAATATTGGTATGATTATTGTTACGTGTGCTTTATATGAAGTTAGTGAGTTAGTTTAAGTTCCCCCGTACTATATTCGGTCAGTTGAATCGCTTCTCATCAGTACGAACATCGCGTTTAATATGCAATGTATATTATAACGGCGTGTATACCTACCGTTGAAAACTGATGCCTTTTTATTTTATACATTAAAAAAGTTTAAACATTTGTAGTATAGCGTTCGATCTCACAGCAGTTCGTGCAATGTACTCACTTCGTGTTGTATAAAAAATATATATATAAAGTAAGTTTTATAGACATAGAAGTAGCCGTTTGGGGATATTTAGTTTTTGTACTAATAAAAATTAAACCACTAGTTGTTGTAACACTACGTTATTGCCTCGGATTATAAACGCAAGTTGTCGCTGATATCGTGAATTAATGAATACTTTGATTGTATTAAAAATGATTTTATTAATAGTTAATAGATTTGGATACAGCTGTTTATTTTCTATCAATAATATTCTCATCAGCCTGTATATACATTGCAATGGTTCAGCGTGAAAATATTTTAATGACGTCATGCAATATAAGTTGATACGTTTTTTAAATAGTGCCGTTGAATAAATAAAATAGCAAATGAAATGTTAAAGCCATATTTCGTTGTTACATTTTAAATGGTAATAGTGTTGTTCTTAATTCGGGAATCGAGTAGCTTCTAATAAAATTATATTTATGCTTAGATTCGTTACTTCCGTTGCGTTCGGCTCGTGTTTCGATTTAATTATTTTTAGATGTCGCGGCTTCAGAGGGTCTAGTTATGATTTGAACATGCTGTATGTATTAGATTGTTTGAAGTCGTTTGAGTTTAGCTGCGGTTAGTCGCGTGTGTTCGCTACTAATTGTCGTATCGCCCAACATCGGGATGATGAGGTGATTAGTCGGAACAGACGCATCATTCTGACTTTAGTGTTAATAAGAACTGAAAAGCTAGCCTTAATTTAATTTATGATAAGTGCTAGGTTATTAAAAATGCTCTTTTGAGTTAGAAATTTGACTTGTTGTTTTATTTCAAACACCTGTTCTTGCAGATTCTTCTATATACAAATATGTTTGTTTTGAGCCATACTAATTGGCTCTTGAATTAAGTGATATGTTTTACGCTATCAAGTAAGTTTTGAATGATAATAGAATAAAATAAAGGGTCATTCATTAGTTCATCTAATTTATTCAAAAATCAAGACTAGATAACATGCTTTCAGTCCTCTGCTATTATTGTAATTTATATATACTTAAATATAACACTTGGAATCATTTCATTTTAATATTAAATTATAAACACTACTTATATAGAAAATGAGCAAAAAGAACTAATGGAAAAAAAAAATATCATGGAAGATTCTTATTACATCCCGATGTGTAATAAAGTAAGTCCGAGTTAATACATTTGTAAACATCGAAAACAATCCAGATCGTATCCGTTCCTACTTTTAAAAAATAGATCTTAGGTTTACATACACATTAAAACTCGGATACAGAATTTTTTACTCCTTTGAAAATCATTAAACACGGTTTAAATATTCAAAAGTAATTTAATTGTACCTACAAAGAAACCTTAATATCAATGTAGGTTAAGTTTAGTTGTAACTATAACTCTGACGCATTGGTCGTAAGCTGTGGCAACAGCCAATCCCGTGTGGTCTCTGTTCCAATCGAGAGCGTTGATTGGCTGAGAGCTGACAACCATGCGCTGCAGACGATTCAATTTTCCCGCGACGCCTACTGTCACGCCGTTTGAGTCGACGTGTGACCGCTGTTCGGGATACTGGCTGTAAGAAAACTTGAATATAATAAGTTTTGCTGATTAACACATTGAGAGTGCCTAAAAGTTATATGATTATTTTAATAGAGTTGAAGCAATTTTGATTAAGCCAAATGAAGCGGCATTCGGGATACATACTATTTCCACAACGACACCTGGCCGTTCCCAGCGCAAGTTATGAACAAATCACGATTCTGAGGTAAATGGCGAGCAACCCAAATCGTTCCACTTTTCGCGGAGTTATCCAGAACCTTAAATTAAATAATACAATTAAATTTTTGACATCGTATTAAAAAAATCAATAGCAATATATGCGCGTAGCATTCATAAATTCAGTCTGTTTTTTCATTCCTTCCACTTACAAAATATAAGATAGAAAAAGTATGCATGGATGTATCTCCAGGTGTGTTCATGTTTGTATCTCTTTGATGCAAATTACTGAACGGGTTTTGATTATTATTTACAGTAAAGAAAAAGCTAGGACTGTTCTAGAAGAATCAGGGCATTTTTTTTTTTTTTTTATGTGAAAGGTGGCAAACGAGCAGACGGCCCACTTGATGGAAGGTGGTTACCGTCGCCCATGGACATCCACAACATCGTTGCGGATGCGTTGCCAACCTTGTTTTTTTTAGGGATAGGGAGAGGTGGGAATAAGGAAATGGTAGGAAAGGGTGGGAATAGGGAAAGGGCAACCGGCTCTCTCACTCATCGGACGAAACGCAGCCACTAAAGGCTACTTCACGCCGATCTTCTGTGAGAGGGTGGTACTTCCCCGGTTGAGCCAGCCCATGTTCGATCTGTAGTGACTGACTACAGCTAGGCTCTACCACCTATTAAAAATTTATGTGGTTTTTTGAGTCTCGTGACGCAAACTATACATGTCGCTACCAGTTGATTTTCATATCTAAACATTTATATATCTCTGAGAAGATTCGCAAAGTTCATAATTACAAGGTTGCGGTCAAATACTAGTATACGCAAGTTTATGAGTAAAATTAATACCTGTGCAAAGCCTTTTGTTGGATTTTGTGTTCTCAAATCAAAAACATGAAATTTGCCTTCTAATGTTGTTGCTACAAGTTTATTCATTGGTATATCCTTCCGATCAAATTCAGCACTGCATACCTAAAAATTTTAAAAATATCTTAGGTTATTTACATGAAAAGATAATTAGCAAACAGTCATTGAAATTCAGTTGAAGTTGTTTCATAAATAAAACAAGTATTAAAAAATGTCCATTACCCCATTTTTTAAATTACATTCCCATCTGAGGGACATAGTTCTTAGATCAAACATTTTTAAGTCTCCATTATCATAACCAGCAATGACAATTCTCTCGGCATCATTGAATGAGTTTCCAAATGCAACGGCCCAGCAGTCTCGTCTTATTTCACCTTTAGCTGGTTGCATGTTAGCTACAGCCTTGCCTCTCTGACGAGGATCCCAAACTTTCACTGTTCCTAATCATAATATATACTTTAAGTTATAATAATATTGAACTGCTAACTTTTTACAGTTTTTTTTTTGTAAAATTATACCGCAGCTTAAATGTTTGTTTTATTTAAATAATTCAATTAAGTAGAAATATTTTTCCGTACCATCTCTACTGCCAGTAACAATCTCTGGAGCACCACAATTAACAGTATTCCCGCCCATTCCATCGATTGAATTTATAATATCTGTGTGTTCCTTGGTGATGTAAACCTGAGAACTTTTTTCTAAATCCCTGAAAAATATTTAATTTTTTAGTATAGAAAGTTTTAAGCACTTTATATAAGAAATTTTTTGTTGTTCTTATGATTGTGTTAAAATTTGGTATTACTGTGGTGTTATTAATGTTTTGAGCTGATTAAACTATCGAAATACAAAAAGTAGTCGCGTATTTAAGCTTGTATGTCGAACAAACTCAATGGTTTTAAATATTTATATGAACATATAAAAAGAAAAAAAATATGTATACCATATTTCGAGGGTGCCCTTAAAATCACCAGTCGCTAATCTTCTTTCTATATCACTACTGGCACCAAAAGTACCACATTTGAAAGAGTTTGGTCTTTCGATTTCCTTAACTTTTTTTAATTCACCAGAGCTTATCTCAAATATTTCTAGAGTCCCACTTCCTTTCGGCAAAGACCCAATGACAACAAACTTTGCTGAACAGGGAATCCACTTACAATCGAATAGACAGTGGTTCATATTATGTTCAATATGTGTTATAATTTGCGGCGTGTCTTCGTTTTCCATATTTCTTTGTCTAAAGATACTTAACTTTAAAAAATTGTAGTCTAGTAAGCTAATAACCTATTAGAAAAGTAACAACCGGTTGCTATGGTTACATCTAACAGTTTCTTGTCAAATTACTATCTACCCAGTAATTTATTTTTTTACAATAAAGAAAAAAATAATATATAAGAAAAATAACTGCATAAAAGTATTAAATTATATAATTTTAAGTCATATAATTTGTAAAGCCAGAAAACGGTGGTTTTTATTTTTAACTTATAATTAATAAATAATATATCTTTTACTAATAAAAAGTGTTAGTGTAAACTAATGTTTTATATCCTATTTACGGACCTTGGCATTTGAAATTATTTCTTTATTCATAGTCAATGTACTTGATTCTACACCATCGCAGTTGGTGTTGAAAAAAATGACGTTTGTTGGCAGTTGGCACTTGGCATAATGGCATTTCACATTTCGCATTAGTTATGGCTTGATTCACGTTATTGTGAAATGAGAATATCAAGAAAATAATAGTATTTTTTAACTGTTGAACGATAATATTATTAAGTTTTAGCTAACAACAAATTCAACTAACAATTCTAATTCTTAATCATGAGCGAAAAGAAGTCTAAACAAAGTGTTAGTTTTTAAATACATCTTTAGATTCAAGTGTTTATAAAATGTTTTAAAACTATAACTGTTCTTTTTCAGAAAGCAGATATTGCTAAACAGTTTGATCTACCCGAGCGTCAATCAAAGATTACGTCGCTTTTAAATCAAGCTGGGCAAGCGTATTGCATATGCCGATCTTCAGATAGTTCGCGGTTTATGATGTGATTTTTTTTTACAATTACTAATATTGTATATTTAATTATCGCAAATTAGGACATCTGAGACATCTCTGCTATATTGCTTTACAGAGCTTGTGATGCTTGCGAGGAATGGTATCACGGAGATTGTATAAACATTTCTGAGAGAGAGGCGAAGTATATTAAAAACTATTTCTGTGAACGTTGCCGTGAGGAAGATCCCACTTTAAAAACAAGGTTCAGGCCACAGAAACGGGAAAATGATGGAGATTCGGGTATGTTTATTATGAATTGTGACCATAATGATGGCACTAAAACTCTTTAAAAGTTGGATGAATGTCTGTTTAACTTGTATTGGAAGAATATTGTCAAGGATCTGATTGTGGTATCATTTAAAGTTTTTAATTATTTACTCACTTTTACATATTAATCTGTTTATTGGCCTAACCAATTTAATTTGGTGCCACTTGAAAACAAATCTTTTTTCAACAACAATAAATGCAAGTGTGTAGTGAAAAAGGGTTTTAAATCTATTTTATCTATTAAAAATAAAAATATTAATCTTATATATATAAAAATGGATTGCCCTTCATTAGTCTCACTAAAACTCGAGAACGGCTGAACGGATTTATCTAATCTTAGTCTTGAAATGTTCATGGAGTTTCAGGGAAGGTTTAAAAGCTGAAAAAAATTGAATCATTTCCGGGAAAACCCTAAAAACTGCCCTTTTCTATTTCCCATACAAATGGTTTTTTTTTTCATTCGATTTGATAAGTAACTAATATGTCAATCATTCTGTCGCACTTCAGAATACGGAGATTTATAGCTTACAGGTAAATTCCAAAAATTAAATGAAAAAATAAATATTGATTGATTGAGGCAGTACGAAGTCTGCCGGGTCAGCTAGTTTCTTATAAAAAGTTACATCTGTTAAATACAATAATTTTTAAATGGTTGATTTATAAATTATTATTGAATAACTTGTATTTTGTCAGTATAAACTGGTCTGTTTCATAGGTAGAGATGATAGAAAGAAAAAACGCAAAGAAAAAGATCATTCAGAGAACAAATCATCAAAGAGACCAAATAAAGATGGCTGCGGAGATTGTGGAGGGTGTTTACAGACACACGACTGTGGCCAGTATGTAGCTTTTTACTTTAAAATATCTTTTCTTTATGCTAAGGCTTCATTCACACTGGAATCGTGGAATATTTGCACACTTACAAATAAACAAAGTGAGGTCGTCCTATTTGAGGTTGGGTTTATTTAGGTAGCTTATGTATTCTATATGATTTTTGTCCCATAATAAAAAAATGTAATACTATCTAATAGGTCAGTGTATTAAATGAACTTTAATAAGTGTATTTATCATAATAACTTGCAATATTTGCTATTTCACAGTTGTGATGTTTGTGAGGACATGTACAAGTATGGGGGTAATAACAAATTAAAGTTGACATGCCGTCAAAGATTGTGTGTCAAAAGCAAAAAGACTTCTAGGATATCAAGGTATGTACCAAAAAATGACAATAATATAATAAAAATTTGTGCAATTTATTTTTCAATAATTTTCTAATCAAATCATTCAAATACTTTTGTTTTTACCAAACACTCATTAATATGTTACATTAATAGTATTGCATTCACAAAATTATTAAACTATTTATTACAATAAGAAATATAAATATGCTTCCATAAATAATGTCTATCTGACTTTAAGCATATCTTTGATGGTCCTAAATCCTTTCAAAATATAGTTACCATATACGTTTATCATTATATGTACATATGTAATTCAATAAATAGTTTCTCAATAATCATAATACATTAAGTTTGAACATTTTATATTTAGTTATATGACTACTATTATGACCCAAGTCCTCTCTCTACCTTGTAAAATGTAGACTATATATGAAACTACAAATGTCATATAAATTTTCCAGTAGTAACCGCATAAAAAAGAAGCATGAACGTGAAGTATATGAACCTGAGGAGTCAATATCTCATCTTCAGACATCAGAGCCTCGGCAGTGCTACGGACCACAGTGTTGTAAGGCAGCTCAGTATGGCTCCAAATACTGTTCTCAGCAGTGTGGAATGAGACTCGCTACTGCTAGGATTTATCAGGTATATGATAAATAGTATTTAAAATAAATGACTGAGCTTCTAAAATTTGATTTGATATAATGTTATGATAATGTCAGGAATATTAAATCTTCATATACAGTGTTGCAGTGTTCTAAATATTTAAGATACAACTAGAATTATTTATTAAAATTCTAAAGTATGTTTTATGAAGCCACTACACATTTAATTTTTTTCCTCTTTATAAAAATTTATATTAATAGTAAACAAAACACCCTACTATATTTACATTTTTGACCTGTATATTTGAGTATGAAATTCATAATAAATATTTGTAATATTTATAATGAAAATATTTATATATATAGAGAAAAACCCATCAATATATCGCATAGAAATATATCATTATATTGAATAATATTGCATGGAAATTCCAAGAAATGTATTAAATATAATTGTTGATGCAATATATATGTATTATTTTTCTGTAAACTTCCATTTAAAGTTGCGCCAAAAAAAAAATATGTCAATTTTATAAGAAATATAAAAATGTTTAACTAAGTAACATAAAATGTAAGTAATATTTTCGGATTGCTACGCGTTATTCTTAAAACTACATACTTGAGACGTCTCAGTCGTATTTTTTAAATACATAGTAAAAAAAACGCGTAGTAATCTGAGAATTTAAATTTTATTTAAATGTATAGTCTTGTTGTTGTTATTTACAGTCAACAGAACGGACACAACACATTGTAATTAAAAGGAATCTCTGATCAATAATGATATTAAATTCTATATATTTCTAGTATATTATTATTTGTCTTAGGTTTTGCCGCAGCGTATTCAAGAGTGGTCTCTGTCTAGCTGTGTCGCGGAGCAGCATAACCGACGTGCATTAGAGGTTGTGAGGTCGGGTCTGGCAAAAGCGCAAGCAGCGCTGCGGGCCTTGGACAAGCAGCACGCGGAGATAGACGAGATGCTGCAGCGAGCTAAACATGCTACTATAGAACATACTGACGAGAAGGTACACTTGAAATATATACATATACTAGAAGACCCGGCGAACTTCGTATCGCCCTATAATCAAGAAAAATCTGTTACGTTTTTTTATTTATATTTTAGAAGTTTACCTATTAAAGCCATAAATCTCTGTGTTTTGAAGTGCGACAGAATGATTGACATATTAGTTAGTTGTTAAATGTAATGTCAAAAAAAAACGTTTGTATCAAGAACTACTACTAAATTAAAAATTAATTAAAAAAAACATTGTCCAGTGGACATAATTGTGAATCTAAACAATTCCCAGATCCCCTTGAGCACACACAAAAAAATTCATCAAAATCTGTCCAGTCGTTTGAGAGAAGTTCAGGGACATACACACTCACAGAAGAATTATATATATAAAGATATATAATTCAGACTATGAGAATAATAATTTGGAATTGTCTATGGATTTTGATACAAGAGAATTCTTTTAGATAGTCATTGATATATATCCTATGGGTTTATATTATTGCGTATTAGAGATTTTGCAGTAAAGTTTGTACTTGTCATAATAATATAAAGGTTTCATTTCTACTCACACGATATTCGAGTATAAATTCCTGTAATTGAAGGTTTCGCGTTAAGTGACCTCGATTAAACTCAATATATGTATTATTTTAGTTACAATTCATATACATACACTAGCTTTTGCCGCGACTCCGTCCGCATGGAATAGTGACTTACGGCAGATTTTTGGTTCTTCCCACATAGTTCCCGTTCTTGCGGGGTTTTCGGAATGGTCGAGTTCCCGTAGAATTTTCAGGATAAAACCTATGTTTTTTTATTCACAATGAAGTACTCTTAACCAACAACATATTTTTTTGTTTATTTGAATAAAGATTAATATTATTATGTTGATACAATTTAAACAAATTATTTCGACCAAATTAGGTACCATAAAAACGGTTTTTGTGAGTTAATCTTAAAAGATAGACATATACTGTCGCGGAGTGTTTTTTAGATCATTAAAAGAGCTATTATTCTTTAATACATATTTTTTGTGTATCTTGAACCGTTTTCACGGCGCACGCAACGGAAGGCTTCAAAGATGAAATAATTTCTCCCGTTTTTTACACATTTACCACTATATCTTTGCTCCTATTGGTCGTAGCGTGATGTTATATAGCCCAAAGCCTTCCTCGATAACTGGACTATCCAACACAAAAAGAATTATTCAATTCGAACCAGTAGTTTCGGAGATTAGCGCTTTCAAACAAACAAACAAACAAACTCTTCAGCTTTATAATATTAGTATAGATATGTATCATGATCTGGCAGGAGGTTTTAAACATACACTTCTTACGTTACTTTTGCTATGATGTTAAACTTCTACGGGATTCGTTGCAAACGAAGATTTTGTCTTATCATTGGCAGTTTTTTGCTATTTTCTTAAGACTCCATCAGAACTTGTTAGTTTGTACTATTAGTTTGAACTATTAGTTGAGCCTTCACAAAAATAACTGTATCTAAAATACTGATTTTGAAATTTAAATAAAGTTAGTCTACATGAAAATAAAACAAACAAATTCATTACATTAAAAAAAAATCACTTATAGGAATTTTACCTTGGACTGTATATTGTATTCTATTTTAAACAATAAGGTCGTATACTTATTGGAATTGATAAATTGACTATTCTATATATTGTGTAATCCTTTATTGGGAAGTTTTTTCATAGTATTGTCTTTTCCCCAGGAAGCAGACGACGAGACTTCCATGTACTGCATCACATGCGGCCACGAGATACACTCGCGATCAGCCGTCAAACATATGGAGAAATGTTTCATTAAATACGAGGCTCAGGCTTCGTTTGGCAGCAGACATCGAACACGGATAGACGGACAGAGCATGTTCTGTGATTACTACAACCAAATTAATGGCACCTACTGTAAGAGGTTGAGGGTGAGTTGGTATCAATAGATTTAAATTTCTTTGGGCTATATGTATAGCAACTAGTAGGCCTAGGCTTGTTAAAAAAATATGTGTGATACTAGTAGATTTTTTTTTAGTTATCTATTCTAATAAATATGTTTTAAATGCCAAACCAATCTGCCACTATATATAACTGAACCTATGAGACGTAAAAAATACAATAAATGTACTCTTAGCTAATGTCCCAACATCTATAGGTCTTTTATGTTGTTAAATATAAAGTACATTTAACTAAGACTAATATTTTCAGAATATTATGCGTAATTAGTTGTTGTTGTATCCCGAATATAAGATCTCATTATATATGTTTATATATATTAATCGTATTCCCAGGTAATGTGTCCCGAGCACTTCAAGGACCCCAAGGTGAGCGACACGGACGTCTGCGGCTGTCCGCTCGTGAGGAACGTGTTCGAGCCAACCGGAGAGTTCTGTAGGGCGCCGAAGAAGAGCTGCCTCAAACACTACCAGTGGGAGAAGCTGCGGCGGGCCGAGGTCGACATGGAGAGGGTGCGGCAGTGGCTGAGGCTGGACGAACTGGTCGAGCAGGAGAGGAACATACGACTGGCTATGGCATCCAGGTCAATGACCTTTTTTTTTCGGGGAGAACTCCGCTGACAGACTGCCCACTACCCTGGCAAGACAGTGGGATTTGTGTGGGGGTCGCCCAGAGCCTGATGGTGTTGGCCCTGGGAATACCCACTAAAATTCCCCGGCTTCCCTTCCTGCCCGTATTGGGGGCGATTTGGGATGGCCTCTAGGTCAATGATCTACATATATATATTATATAACATCATTGGAACCTCATCTACGCTATTATTGTGAATTGTGATACAGGGTGTTTAATAGACTTCTTTGCATTGGGTTGTGGATAGAACAAAAAAATTACCAGCTATAAGATTTATTCCGATTATTGAATTTCATTTCTTTATTAATATAGGTGTAGTTGTGTACACGTAACTTGGCAAGGTTTTGGTGTGGTGGGGATAAGTTCGTGCGTGTATTCTTAGTGCATTGAACAGTGGCCACTTTAATGATTATCATTGAAAGGAACTGGTAGTAGTAACAAAAACAACGTATCCATTTTAAATCCTCGCAAGTATACACTTCATACGCAAGGGATTGTGTTTGTGTTCGCGTCATATCTATAACACCTAAAAATAGCATTTTATTCATCTATCGTCACTTGCCAAATTACGAGTAGGCTACTATACATGTATTATTATTAATGGTTTGTGTACTAAAGACAAATATTAACAATGTATAAAAATGGTCCAGGATTAACCGTTGTTCGTTAACCAAAACGTTACCGATCGTTTAATTACATACGACATGCAATAGATGAATAATTTATGATATTTCTCTCACAGGGCCGGTGTTCTAGGTTTGATGCTTCACTCGACGTACAACCACGAGGTCATGGAGAGAATAACAAAAGCGAACGAGAACGGAAAGGTCAAAGAGGGGTCATGACACAAAAATATCACAGAAAAAACATAACACGATTATAAATATTACTTAATACACGCGATGTTCCTAATGAGATAATTATATGTATTAGGAAATTGTTAGTTAAAAAAATACATGTCATTTTGTAATATAACAGAATTTAATGAAGTAAACACGGGTCATGGAATTTGTATGTGTAAATAAAGATTTCAAAATATAATGTCTGTTTATTTCTGTGATTTGTATTGTGTAAGTTGAAGTACAGAAAATTTCTTTATTCGCTTGGTATATGTTCTATAAATATGCCACAAATACAGAAACCGTGAATACAGAATGGTAATTAATATCGGTTTAGTGAGGGATACGTTCCTAGGTGCCAAAATAAAAATATAAACACATATATAAGAAAATCAATTTTATTGAAATTTTTGAACATTAATTTAATTAATCATTATCCTCAGGCTTATGCATTGGTTGAAAGAATTTTGCTATCTTCAGTTTTTAATAGTTACTTTAATTCAGACTGACAGACAGTCGCATTAGCAATGTGTCTCTTAAAATTAAGACTGTGTTCCAAAGATGAATCAACGTTCATAAAGAAATCGCAAAGCTAATTTGCCGTTCTTAAACCTTCTTTAAGATTTTTTTAGAGTAAGGCTACTGTTACACATGCTTATATAGTTATATATATTACAGTTTCTAGGATGCTTGTAGTGAACATACTTTAATTGCACGCTTTTTAGCATGCTAATTAAGAGCATGTGTAACAGTAGCCTTAATGTCATATTTCTATTGTTTGTGGAAGCTTATTTGGGTTGCATTTTATAAATCCGCGAACAGTGAAGACACGAATGACAAATAATAGAGATTAAAAGTAAGTGTCAGAATAAAAAATAAGTACCTCGAAGATTTCTTCTACAATAATACCCTAGTTTATATACTTGTATATAGAAATAAATAAATCTTCTTAGTTTTTTTAAGAGTTAATAAACTATTATGGTGACTTCGTCCAATAATGATGAGACGATAATGTTAGACGAGAATATCTATCAAATTAAACGAATATTCAAATATGTTTAAGACCTTAAAATTTGTTATTCAGTTCGTATATCAATTACTAGATTAATTGCTTCAAATTTTATTTTAATATTTTGTTTCTATCATTATATTAGGTAATATAATTGTATGAATGTATTAGTTTCTCTATATAAAAACTAATTGACGTATCGCCCTTATATTAATAAAAGTATTAGAGAAGGCGGAAGTGGGATTAAATTTGTTTTGACAATTTTAAAACAGTCATTTTAATATTATTTTAAAGCCAATTATACAACAATGGGGCTCAGTTAGTTATCATATCAAAACATATTTCGCGCGTCCCCCAACACGTGCGACATCCCCCGTTTTAATATCACATCCCCATTCGTAATTGAAGCGTGTAATTCGATGACATGATTCCTTAAATCTTATAATTTGACTCAGATTATAACCCTTGGGCTATGTCACTTAGATATTATATAATACCCGGTTGTCAATACGTAATTTATTGTAACATAATTTATTCTCTGTGATTCAAACAGAAACGTCAAATAATGAATTAATATAGGTTTCTTACAGTGATTTACTATTATTTTGATATAAATAGATAAGAGGTTCTTGCGAATCATAGGCTACTACAGGAATTTCATTAAAACCCTTTCTTTATTTGGATTGAAGGCAAGATATGGGCGTAAAAGCTATCTGTTTGCTATATATAAAATTATTTACATTTATTGTTCAATTGAGTTCTATAATTTAAGTTGAACAAAATAAAAAGTGAGAACATTAAAAGATTTATATCTATAAGTACTTATAATAAATCTGCTGAGCGATCAATTCTGTACATAAAATATATTTAAAAAATAACTATCAGGGGGTGGATAGGGATCGCTACTGATGCCAAAAATGCAATCAGTAAAATTTTTGTCTGTCTGTCTGTATATTCGTTATGGAATACTTTACATTACGCTACGATAAATAGGAGCAAAGCAGTGAAGGGAAATATTGGGAAAACGGGAGAAGTTACTCCATTTTTTTAAGCTTCCGTCGGGTGTGTAGGCTTATAGGTTAAAGCTACATAGAAATCATGTATGATGGAAATATTCTCCTTTAAATTATATAAAAAGTATTCCTCGACGGCATATGTCTATCTTTTATTGTTGACTCACATAACACCTGAAACTCCCGATAGCTTAGCAATTCGGAGATTTCTGATTGTATTTGTCTACTCTAACGTTTACAACACTATAACTCATCCCTTATTTAAAAAAGTTAACATTATGACCTATTCAATAAAAAAAGAATCATGTAAATCAGTGTAGAAAAACACCAAAGTTATCTTCTTCTATACTTATAAATTATAATAAATCTGTAGAGCGATCAATTCAATAATCAAGGAGTTACACGCTGACGGAGTCGCGGGCACAGCTATCTATATTTTTCTGCCAGAAGTCACTATTCCACGCGGACGAAGTCGCGGGCAAAAGCTAGAATAATAATAATAATAAATATAATTCTTGACAGATGTCTAACCCCGCTTCCAATTAACTTCGGTCATGGAATTACCTCCCCGATTTTATCTAATATTTGCGTCAAAACTGAGGAATTAGAATTATTATTAATTTGGGTCACAATAACCCCTGGTTACGCTTATCTTTGTCATTCGACACAGAAATTAATATGACATTAGTTACTGCGTTTAGAATCACTTATGGTTTGCAGGTGCAGATTCGGAGCCAAAATTTTTTTTAGCTTATTAAAATATATTAGAGTAAAAGAAATAAGTAATCCATTACACAATAATTTACTTTTTATGAGATAATAGACACTTATAAATTTATTGTGTATTCAAAAGATTGTGTTAGTATTATGTTGAATTATGAAGAACTTATTTATTTAATGTCTAAGTAAATCTTGAAATACACTAATATAATTTTGTGAATAATGATTCCATGAAACTTTAATCAAATAATAAAAAATCTACTAGTAAGTTTTATTGGTTCATTCCAAACCTTGACCACCAACACAAATTTATATGTAACTATAGCCTATTTATGTTTTATAAGAATTGACTATCTTGTAACCTAAGATAATATAAAAAATAGATTAAATCAATAAATAAGTGAACAAATTTAATTTATAATTAATATTTTTCTTACATACAATGAATGTTGCATTGTTTTAGTTATATCTAGGTAGTTCTTGCCCGTCGTATCACGTAATGGTACATAGATTAGACATATGTCTAAGGAGGTAAACATAGTATCTCATTAAAAGTGCAGTAGATCATTTCACTGTACGTGCCAAAAACATGGATACAGACTTACCGTTCGAGTTATTTGGTTGTGCGTATGAGGAAAGAGCAATGCTGACTTATCATTCGTATGCGAGGAAGATATACAAGGAATGAACGTAGGCAAACCGTACATCTGGCTTTCTGTGGAAAAATAGAGGACATATGAATTATATAGTGAATATCATCGTGAATGCTCAGGCTATGTCATGTTCTCTTCAATAGAAAAAGGATTTGACGTGGTCTTAAAGAAAAGGTCTTTAAATTTCAACGGCTTCTACCACCTACTACTTAAATTAGGCTTATCTACCAATTTCAATAAAGCAAAAAGTTTGTGGAAGATATATTTCAAAGTAGAGAAGATATCTTTATGTAGTTATATATTTATACAGTTCATTACAGTTTAAATTACCCATTGCTAGTCATCGGTTTTTATGTTATTCAATTAGAATTCTACTAAACAAACTGGGTCTTTGTATAGATTGAGGGAATCTGGATAGAACATTTCCACGATAAAAATTGGAAAGCACACCTTAAACTTGTATCTACCTTCAAACACTGACAAAAAATAATGCGTTGTAATTGTAAATTAATTTACAAAATTTGTAATTGCCCAGAAAGGGTCAAAAGTAAAGTAGCTAAAATTTCGTTTTGATTCCGTAAACGTAGACTCTGTTACTCCAAAATGCTAGACTCATTTAAATCAACAATTATAGTCATTATTACTGTCCCTTAACTTGTATGCTATGTAGAAAACTAGTAAAGTAAAAAGTACCGTAAGTGTAACACATTAAACAGCTATAACACATTAATGACTTTAACTCACATTTAATTCAATAGTCGGTACGATCTTTCACAGAGATTTATAATTTCATACGATGTATGATTTTTTCTAAGTGCCATTTATCTACATATTATCATATTTATGCCGTTACTAGAGATGCCTTCCAGCCAATGGAATCATAAGCTATACTGATCACAGCCTATTCCCCAAACTTACTATTCATCCATTAGAGAACACGATGTTATAAAGTGTTAAGTGAAGTAAAAATTTTTAAAGCTGAAAACTATAGTTAGACAAACAAAAGATTTAGATTCAGAATTTAATAATATTACTAGGTTGAAAGAGATAATAATGTAGATATTAGGGTCAAAAGGTGTTATTTTTGAATTTTTATTTTTAAACAAAACGTTAAAAACCAGTCGGTTTTTTTAGTGTCATTAATAAATCATGAAAAACATCAATAAAATGATAATTTTTTTTTTTTCGAGAAGCACAATTTTTATTTATGATAATTTTATGCCAATCGTCAATCAAGTCGACTTGAGGTCAGAAAGATATTATGTTTCATTGTTATTATATTGCTTGATCTGAGCATATTAGTGTTTGATAATGTTAATATCCTATATCACGGTGATTTTAAATATTAATTTCAAAATGTGTACCGTATAACTGGCCTCAACGTTTAAAGGACTGTATTGCAGCCAATGGAGACCACTTCGAATGAGCTTTTATGTTTAAATTGTTTTATATATATGTACTAAACTTACATTCTATAAAATATGTAATAAATGTTATTTGCAATAGATTTTTTTTTAATTTGTAATAATATTTATGGCTAGACCATGTACATAGACCGTGGTCTTCATTAAGCATAGTTATCACTAGTTTGTTTGGAATATTTAAACCTAGTAGAGATCATAACATATATTTTTCAAATATTTGAAAAAACTACTTGAAGACATAGGTAAGAGAATTATTCATATTTCTCAGTTATCATTCGTCTCGACACCAATTAATTAATAAGAATATGTTTTCAAATTGAATGGAAAATTTGTTACATATTATGTATACCTATTTATATAGATATTATAGGACAATTGTTAAACATTTATATATTGTAAAATTTATATTTTATATTGTTTATATTTAACAAATATATCTAAGATACAAAAAGGTATGATTGCCGTGATACTTTTTACCGACTAATTTACTTAGGTACTTACCTACTTACTTTGCCTTTTCAAATATGAATGGGGATTTCTTGCTTTAAACTAAGAACACAATCTATATACCTAATGTAAATCTTTTGTAAAGAGTATCTTATAATAATTTAATATTAATCCGTTCTGGGATATTCCACAATAAGTCTAGATGGTAAGTTAGGTCGATAGAACCACCTCCTGCACCTGATGTAGCCAATCAGCTATGTCCAACCGAAACTCACCCTTAATACAGCCAATCAGATTCGTGAAATCTGACGTTACCAAAGTTAAGGGTGCTTTTATAATTTCCCATACAATATTCAACCGTGTATCCTTCATCTAAAATCTAGTTTACATTGAATTTATATATTAATAAAACAGGGAACATATTTTTGGGATAGCATGAAAATGTTAACATTTTGATGTAGTATAGTTTGATACTTGGCCTCAGTTAGATCCTACCTTACAATCTTATAAGTTGTTATAACTGATTGTGTTGAAGCTCTATAAGAGCAGTGCTTGTTTTGTGTCTAGGAGTGCACACCAGGACTCAAGATTCATTTCCCGCTGATGTCCTACGGCAGCGAGACGCCGCACGTTTGGAACAGCTCCTCTGTTTGTATATGATTTACTATACATAATTATACGTATTATATGTAATAAAAATCGAGAGAAATTCTGAATAACCAAAAAACAGTTCGATTAAATAAACAAGTTAGACTTAAACTTTACAGACCGAAATTTTCACCAATATTTATGGAACATTATCGATGTTTCACATTATCTTATATCGTGTACTTGGTGGAATTTTAAATTTTTTAATACTTAAATGGTTTCCTAAATTTGTGTAGTTTTATAAGTTTCATAATAGCCGTCTTTTTTTCAAATATTTTTTTTTTATCGTAAAACAGTAATTTGAACATCATCACCATCATTCATATAAAGTAACGTCTTATTTACTTCCATTTCAAATCTCATTTAAAGTATAGAACTTGCTTGCCCGTGATCACGGTTGCTGAAAAGTAATTGACACGTCGGGAGTATGAAGTTTTAAAATAATAATATACGAGTAGTAAATCCAAATAATATTAGTTTCATTTAAATGAATAATCGCGATAGTCTAAGCTCTCGTTAAAATTTAGAAATACGCAGCTCTGATGCAGCTTAATAGGTATAATAGGTACATATTGGAGATTTTTCTATTGCGAGCAGTTTTTGGCAATATATTTCTGATAGAAAAGAATGTCTTTTAGACGTTGCTTATAATAATATAAGATGTATCCTCAGGGCAGTGAGGTGTCCCCGTACGGGTCGTTGTGGGACGCCCCTCCAGCCTCTGTGCCGTATCCAGAAATCCTGGCCTTCCCACCAGCCGACCTGGGTAAGACAACACTTGTACATAAATAATAATAATAATAATAATAATGATAAAGCTTTTATTAATCCAAAACATCAGTTACCGTTAGAAAAAGAACATTAAGTATAAATATTATAAGCTAAATATGTCATGGCCCCTTTCGGGTATAGGCCTCCTCCAGTTGTATCCATTTTTTCCTGTCGGTAGCTGTTTCTTCCTGCTACTTCTGGTATGTCGTCGGCTCAGCGAGCTGTTGGTCTTCCCTTTTTTCTTTTTACTCCAGGACCTCCTGGGCCCTTCTAAAATATGGTTGCTCGCATGACCCATCCGTCTGCAGAGGAGCGAGCGATGTGTCCTGCCCATTTCCATTTTAAGCGTAGTACTTGTACATACAATGTAAATAGTGTTAGCCAAATAGTTCCTGCAATTTGTTGGTTTTCTGTAGCAATAGGGTGTATATTTTTAACATAAAAATTTCGCTTAGTATCTTTTAGTTGATATACTTAATTAGCTTTTTCTGTTTCTATGAACATAATTTTTGTAGGATGAGATAATATACAGGACAAGCTGAATTACTTGTGTTTTTAATTAATTGTGTTCATAATTTTATAAAATCTGAAAATTTCCATATAATTTTATTATAATAGTATGTAAAAGTTAATATTATATAATTTGCTATGGATATAATTGGAATCTTATTAACTTGGCTCTCGTACGCATTTGTTATATATTTTACTTGATTTTATATGTATAACATGTATAAAAACTACTTATATTGTCTTCAATAATCATAAATACGAAAGATGAAATAGTCTAGATAAGTCTGGTTATAATACAAAAATTAGTACATTTACATTTAAGATTAGAAAATAACATCCCAGTTTTGGCTCATATTAAAAATATGATAAAGTTTGAGATTCCCATTTAACAGTTTATGTCTTCGACTTCTTGTGTTATAATTGTATAAAAATATTTTTCATCGCATGTTGAAAATTAAATAAATTTTTGTATGCATCAAATAGGTGTCTTAACTTCTAAGCATTTCTTAGTCTTATGCTTAGGATAAGTTACCAATATCAATTATAGAGACAGGCGAAGTTATAATTTCTAATAACCTATATATTTTATTGTATAATGTTTAAAAATTTACTAATAAAAAACTGTTAACGCCCCGAATGTAGTCAAATGCTAATTTAGGTGTGAATACTGTTCCATTAGTTAATGTTTCTTTAAAGTTGTTTATGTAGACTTATAGAAATGTTGAAAGGATCAAATAAGTCTGTAAAATTGTACAATATAAGAGATTTAATGTGGTTCTTTAACTCCACCATAACGTATAATATCTTGTTTATAGTTTTGGGCACATTTTGATTTCAAAAATACTTTTAGTAATGTACTACCAATATAAAAAATATAGTTTTCTTAATTATGTTACATTTGTTCGTGTTTTTTGGACAATGCTATTTTTTTTCGTTCCATGACCAAGTTCAAAATCTTTCTTGATTTTTTTGCAAATCATATGTGATCTAAAAGTAAATAACTGTAAGTCTCATTAATTAATAACATTATTGTAAATTGGAGAAAAAACTTAATTTATCTCAACCTATTTATATGACTTTTATTCAGTTGATTTTTCATAGAATACAATTCATAAAAATATTTGCTTGTTTTGAATTTAACTTTAATTATAATATTATTAGATGTTTTAAGTTTGGCATCTTGTGTATTTTTAAAGATACTCTTTTTATTTTTTGATCATTTAATGTTTCTAAATATTCATAACCTCTTATTTTTGTCCATTTTTATATTGTGTATTACAAAATCGACTTCTCATACACACATATGTATTAAAGATTCGCCGTTACAGTTTTTCTGTGTATATTTATTTTTGTTTATAATATCTTCCTCCTAGAGAGTTAAAAATATTTTTTCCTAAGTCTCATCATTAACTTTAACACAATCACCTCCGCAGCAATTAATACAGAGCACACGTTTGTAATCATCAAGTTTAATATATTTTCTTAATAGTTTGAAATAAATGTGAATAATTATTTGTGCAGTTTGGTCGGCGGCAGGATGTGGACGGAGCAGTGCCAGGTCCACCCCCGGAAAGAAACCGCGGCGTCGCGTGGCCTCCGTCGCTCAACGACGAGCAGCGAACATCCGTGAACGAAGACGAATGTTCAACCTTAACGAGGCATTCGATAAATTGAGACGAAAAGTGAGTACGCTTGATAAACATATAATGAATTTAACAAAGTTCATTATTATTTATTTCTGATTGTTATACGAACATATATTTATACAATTAAATTGAACTGCACTTTCTAAAATTTCTTCAAAATGATTGATCGTGGTCAAGTGTAAATGATATGAAGGAATAGTGATTTGTGTGATAATTTTAAAATATGGTTTAAAATTCTGAGAGCTAAAATTATTTTACCTGCAAGCAAATATATTTGTTTCGTATGTTTTGAATATTATATGGAGATTTCTTGTAACGTAGCTTAATTAGTATTTTAAATAAATTTCATAAACTCTACCCATTAACATCATTAAGTAAATTGCAATTGATATTGATTACGTATTAGTAAATGTAACAAAGCTAATTATTATCATTACGTTAAAATTATTAAAAAAATATTGGATAGCCTATTGGAATTGCGTGTATTAACTAAAAAATGTTCGTTTCTTTATGAACTTCTAAAATAAAACTTATTTAAACGATTGTATTACATAATATAACTTTTAGGAGTTATATGTAGTTGAAACTATAGTTTATAAAATAATATTTTTTACTTTAGAACGTAAGTTTCGAATTATATTCATTAAATGTGATAGAAATTAATGGATACATATTTTTTTTCATCGATAGGGCAAAATAAAACAAAAATCCATCCTGTAAGCAAATTTGAATGGGGACTCATACAAAGGCAAATTATTGCCGATTTCAGTTTGAAAATGTCAATAATAATAATTGAAGTTATTTACGTCAATTAAAAACAAAAATGTATCCTAATACCAGGTGCCAACATTCGCATACGAGAAGCGTCTTTCGCGCATTGAAACACTTCGTCTGGCGATCACGTACATCAGCTTCATGTGTGAACTGCTGCATGGTTCACCACAGCCACATCATGCGTCACTGCACTCCCGACATGTCTTCGACACTGATGTTCCGTGGTGTGCTTAATATACTTGAATTCCATGGCAAATATACATAGGATTTACCGTCAGCATCTGTTAGTCTATTTGCAGTATTGCTTCGAAAATATACAAACATATTTTAAGGGTATTATTATGGAATGTGTCCTAGATCGATAGTATTAATAATTTCTTTCTTCACTAGGATTTTAAGAAAATATTTGTCAATAAAAGCATTTGAAACCTGATAATCACTCTCATAATGTTCTTAAATGCAAGCAAAAATAGTGATTTCTGTTTATGTAAATCGTGTTTTTACTTACGTGTTATGTCTAGAAATATTTTAAGTAAATTGATATTTTCTTTTGTGAATGATTTTTGAAGGTCCGTTAATAATATTGATTTCCTTTAAAGAGTTTCTTTAGTATTTAGTATAGTTACAAGTATGAAGGTGAAGGAAAAAAAAAGTTGCAATTTTTCAAAAAGACCATAACACTTATGTTTAGACACTTATACACATTAGACATTTTTTAGCCCTTTTGTAGTAATTTTTGTTTGATTGAACATTTTGTCGTAATAGGTATACGTACGTATTTTGTAGAGGTATACGTACGTAATTTTTTAGAGGTTTTTAGATAACTTCTTATTTCATAATTAAAAAGACAAAAAATCTTACCTCTTCGAAAGATATTTACCTGTCTTCCATTAATTTTTAGAGACGTTATTTATAAGTTTATTGTAAGTAGATTGTAATTAATTTACAGTACTTTCATAATAAGTTTGAAAAATATAATTTATGTCTTTTATTTTTACACAACCTGTGAAATATTTTTAAACCGCGTTAATACTTTTGTAAACATGTTCATTTATTTAATGTCATTATAAGTAATACAATAATGTAATTAAAGATCTTCTTTCTTTGTTATATATCATCCTTTTAGATTAATACTAATTATAAATGAATGCTCATTAACTAATAATGTTAAAAAGAAACTGATTCATCATTGGGGGGGTGGGAATGTTTATGATTATTATATCAACGTGTATTTAAAGGTAAGATATAATTATTTTCATTTATTATTTTGCTTGCTACTTGAGCGGAAGGAGAGTTTGTGAAAAATGAAACTAATTTACGTTTTGGTAAGTAAATATTATTAGTATTTTCTGTTTAAATTTTGTTTTATGGCTAACGTAATTTTAGTATATGAAACTAATTTAAATAGTAGATTTTATAATCTCTTTATGATCATTTATATGCGGTCTTCAATTTTATACGCTGTTTTTGCATTTTTGTTGATTATTAATTCCTTGTAGTTTTTTCATAGCTATTAATAAACAATCGGTAAGAGTAGAGTTTAAAAGATCGTCAAGTCGATTTTGAGTAGTAATTATAGTTTAAATGCAACGTTTATTCACGTTCGGCATCGTTACTAAGAAATAAACTTTTTAAATTTTTTTAGAAAAACCGGATCAAATCTCCATGACTTCTTAGATTTATTTTGTACTTACTTATTGAGTTATATTGTAACTTAAAAAAATTAAAATATTATAGTATGTTTTATATTGTTATTGTTTAGATGAAACTCTTACCATACATTTCTTAACATACTTGTATTTGTTTTTTCAGTCACTGACATTGATAGTCAATGCATTCTTAGCTACGAGTTTAAACTTGAAGAGACCTAAACGTAACTTACTTTGGGTAAAGAACATGGTGGCTAATCTTTTTGGTTACAAACGACCCCATGCTAATCACAGAGTTATGTATACGATTCCAGAATATCTTATATTTCAACCCGCAACAATTGCACCACAGTACATGACTCAAAATATTTATCCGGGACCATTAACAAAGATATTGATTCCATGTTATATGCAAAACCAACCTTTTATTACATTTGAACAACAAAATATTCCCGTGTATATATATAATACTGATGAGTGTAATTACAGACCAATACTCAATTCAGATTATTTCAATATTAATGGACCTCAGTATAGTCCATACCCATTAAAGTATTATGATCAAATTCAAAACCCAGAAGCAATACGTGGTGACAAACAAACATATTCACGTAATATGGAACCGCTACAAGAGAAATTTAATGAAAATTTATCACATTGCACTGAAGAAGCAAAACCAACTGTTCCAAAAATTCAAAATTATCAGGACGAAGAACAAATCAAAAATAAAGTTGGATCCACTAAAGCTCCTGAGTTAACTGTAACTAAGAACAACTTGGCAAGTTTATCTTCTTCTACAACCTCAGCTATTTCTACAACATCGGTGACTACGGAAACGTCAGTTACTCCTATAACTTCAGCTACTTTTGCACCTACTACAATTTCAGCTATTTCTACAACATCAGCTACTTCAACAACTTTAGTTGCTTCTACAACTCTGTTGGCTTCTACAACTTCAACTTCTTTCACAAATTCAGCTACTTCAACAATTTCGGCTGCTGATGCACCTTACGATACTTCTACAATTTCTACAACTTCAGATACTTCTTCAATTTCAGCTACATCTATTGAAAATTTAGCTTTTACTACTTTCTCCACTTTGGATCAAAATTCTATTCAAACTCCACCTGTTACTACTACTGATACAACATCTCCTAGTGCAAATGATTCAGCTACAACTACTTTTTCTACTTCTACTCTTACTACTATGGCTACACCAATTGTCAATACAATAGACACATTACCTGCTTCTGAGATAACAGTAACACCAGAGTCTTCAACTATAATGCAACTATTTAACTCCTCAACTGATTCTTCTAGTTCAACATCAGTATCGTTTCAAACCACGACATCCACGTTACCTACTCAGCCTGATTCTCCGTCAATAACAGAACAGGGGGAAGCCAAAGACGTGCCAATTTTTACTAACAGTCTTGAAACCACAACCTTAAGCAATATTGTTCCAAATGAATCGGATTTCAAAAACGCAACAAACGGTACGACAAATCCATTAAGGGTAACCGAATTAAAAGATCAACTCTCTACTGCAAGCTTACTTCACAGCCGGGAAAACAATAATACGGAAGAAAGTACAATTGCCGCACCTTTAAATTTTGTTCAAGAAAGTAATTTCCCATTAGGTAAGAGTGAAGAAGGACTTCTTCCTCAAGAAAAAAAAGAAAATTCCCGTGGTGATATTCCAGATATGACTACTTAAAAAATACATTAGATGTACAAATAATTATATTTTATTTTAGGTTTAAGACATATTTTCGTGAGAATATTTGTTATTTTCAATTAAAGAAAAATGAATCAGTTATAATGTAAAAGTATGGTTTCTACTGTATAAATTTTAATTCGTCAATGAAAAGTTTTGTAAAGCTCTTCCAGCTTTAAAGCAATTCTTCCTATTTAAATAAAAAGAATGAAAATATATATATCGGATTTATTACAGAATTCCTTGTTTTTAAAGAGAGAGACGCCAGCCTCGATGACGTCACTAAATGTCACTTCTAGTACGTTCCATGATATTTTAAAATGAAACTTTAATTGTTCTTAATGCTCCTGTATTTCTCGAAGGTTCTTCATAATCACATACTTCAATGATACGCACTCACTGAACTCTCAATTCTGAAGTCTGCCGTCGTGCGTCCAGACGTCATATTTATACCAAGATTTAAACATAGTTATATTCTCTTTTTAAACAATCTTTGATTTCGTTTTGATGAATACTAATGAGGTTTCATAATAATTGATGACAGCCTCAAATTATTTTCATGTCGCATCCGTTATTAAAGCTGATAGCGCCGATATATACTATCGTTCTTTAACATTGTGTGTTCTATGCAATTACATATAATCAAACATGATATAAATTGAAATATACATATTTGTGATATCATCATTGTGTTACTATTATTTGTGATGCTATACGATGCTCGTATAATAAAATCAGTTCTGACAAAAACTTGTCGTTGTTTTATAAAAGATTTTAAGTATTATTCCTAATATAAAGTCTAAAAGACCTTTTAATAACCCAAGAGAGGACATAATGATACATAAGTATTTAACAATTATAAAAAACGATCATTCAGATTACCGCTAAACTTTAGAATATTTTTTTTTTCTTAAAATTTTAGTGAAAAGCCAATAACAGGTCAAGAAATTTTGTTGTCTACTTATTACAAGATTCTAAAGGGTGTTATTGTAAGGAGTCTTTTATATGTATATGTGAAATAATTATCGTATGCAATTTTCATAGAAGGTGAAGTAAAAAGAAGACGGTAATAGTGCAAAATGTTTTATTAAAGAATTTATTATTAAAAATGATTTCCTTTTTGGGTTAGTTACAATGGTTACGTAAAAAATTATGGTATAAATATTTTATTTTAGTCCCTAATATTATCTAAGATCCATTTTATGTATTTGGTGACGGCAGTGTATACTCCAGGGAAGTCTGAACCACATTGTTTAGGGCCATGAGACACAATACCGTACTGTATATTTCTGTTGATTCCCTTGTACTCTACTTCTAACATTAGAGGACCACCGGAGTCACCGTTGCAGCTATCTTTTAAATGTTCACCAGCGCAAATGTAGTTCAAAGTTCTATCACCTTCGTTTGGCCCGGGACTTCTATACAAATCACATTATCTCATTATTTACTGATTAATAACAAATTTTTGTGACGCACAATAGTTCTTACCTGTTATAATACTGACTGCACTCTTCGCCAGTTTTTATAGAAACGTTGACCTTAAGAAGAACGGGAGAATACTTTTCAGTTTCTGTAAGCCCCCAACCGGCTACAGTGCCAACTTTGCCTCCAAGCTCAAAGTTTTGCAGATCTTCCGTCACGGGTAGACAAATTGGTAATGCATTTTCTTAAATAAAAAGACACAATTATAACATCAACATTATTACAGTAATAAACTTTTTAAGGAAAACATGAGGCCTTTTGCTTATTATTACATCAGAGGTTTTCCTAAATATTAATACTTTTCAATATATTTCTCCTCGCTACTGTTTTTATCCACAATTTAATAAATAATATATATATATATTAATTTGTCTGGAAGTCGTGAAATAAAACGTATATAACCGTGTACATATGTATAATGTATATATCTAAAAGAAAAAGGAAATATCTTACTGAAGTTAAAGTTGATTGGTTTGCTTAGACGCAGAAGAGCTATGTCATTAGAGGGAGATGGTAATCCTGTGTAGGACTCGTGAAGAATAATGTTTTCAACTCGAATATCCTGAAAAAAATTAAAGGAAAATTATAAAACCTGAACTGTCTTATTGCTTTACAGTCAAATATTAACAACAAGTAATTCTTTCTCTGACTCAAAAAATATTATTTCTTTTTGAGGTTTCTTTTAATTTTATGTCCATTGCTAGTAATATTATTTGTTAATAATATTACCTATTAATATTTTATAACAGATTCAATAATTTTTTTATAGCATATTAAATATTTCTCGCATGTTATATTTTTATAACGATTTGTCAAATTAATTAATACTTCTAGTAAGATGTCAGCTATTTGACGACGGTTGGACAGGCCTAATATTTTAAGTTACACAAGAATATTCGGAAGAATAATCAAACAATTTTCTTGAGTAAATAGTAATAACTTATAGTATGTGTACCTGGAGATGAGATTCGCAGACGAAATTTGGTTCTTCTCCTTGACAATCAATTTTGTAACGAATATCGAATTCTCCGATACGAACTCCTGCAATCTTATGGGACCCGGCAACACAATGACCAGCGGTTAGAATGTACCTTGAGTTTATAATACTCCCGCCGCACTGAAACTGGAGCCCCTCACCTAGACGAATTTTATTAATAGATTAGTGAAAATATAATTAATAATAAAGAATAACAAAAAATCTTGTTATAAATACATTTTATTCAGGTTGCAAAATAGGATTTCTATTGGTAGGAGAAGGATATATGAATTTGTTGTATACACAAATTAAATAAACGTACATTATAAGTTATAAGTTAGAGGCGATATTTTCACCACCATGATTTTATTTTTTTTAAACCGAAATTTCGTCAACCGGTCATATTTTTTTATTCAGACAACTTTTTTGATTGTCAATAGACAGTTTGACAATGAAAGGTTTGAAAAATATATATTTATATATACATATGTTTTTACTTCTATTATATACCCTTAACCAACATCAATTTTGTTTTTCCACTGTCCACTCCTTATGACCGTTATACATCAATAATAAAAAATGTTGTTAAGACTTAGTTCAAGGGTTGAAACTTTAAAATTAGATAGGAGTTAGATTTAGCGCTATTGGTTATATACTCACGTGTATTATAAGAAATGAGGGCCATCCATGGGAACTCGTAAATTTTGGCAACCCTGCCACCGATGATGCGATTTCCCTCGATGTCTCCACAAGTGTCAGGCAAAAGTCTCATGTTCGGATGTGAATCAGCTGTGCCTGTTACAACATCTGTTCCCACTTCCCCGGTCCGTGAGGCAAGGGTGAAATCAGAACAACATATCTGAATATGATAATCATTTATTATTATATAGGCTGTGAAATATGTTCAAGTAGCAATTTATCTTAACTTTTAATTACAAATCACTTTAGTTATTACTTATTATGTTTAGAGTTACCTTTGGCATCCATTTAATTTGATCGTATTCATGCCCACAAAGGGATTCTATGAATTTGGTCTTTGTGGAGTTGTCTAGATGGTTTATTGCTAACTCCACTGCGCTCGGACATGATGTGAAAGCAATGCAGTCGCTGCACACTTCTATAGAGTAAGAAAACAACGTATTATTATTTATTATAATTTTGATCCAACTTCCTTATAAAGTTGTAAAGTCCATAGAAAAATGACGATATCTACTTTAATCACAGTTTTTGGATAAAATATATATTTTATTCATATGAAGATAAAAACGCGTTTTTAAATTATACCATTACTACAAAAGGTTCCCAGGTTTCTTCTATTTTTGTTTAGTTTTGATACAAAAAACATTTTTAATAATAATAATGGCATCTTAACAAAAACCATATTAAGTTTATAAAGCGTGTAACAAGTTCTATAGTGGAGAGCCGTAAGGTTTATACCTCGGAATCCAGGGCCAGTCAATGAATCTTAATATAGACCTTGAAAATAGTATATAGAAAAATGTTAAAAAAAAAAATTTCACGCTCTTAATTTTTTAAATTATTATAAACAATTATTAATTTTTTGGAGTTTTCATTGATTTATATTAGTCAAAAGTCATATTTTAAAAAGAGCAACGATTAAAAACTTGATCTTCTGCTTTTAGGGACTACAGGTATAAGGATGAAAGTCGTTTATGTTCGGTATTGTTCCTGGCGGGCCCTTACAGGATAGTTTGTAACTTGCTAGACTTAATATGTAGCTGTTGTTTTCGTTCTAAAAAATATTTATTAAAAATTAATGTTTAGCTTCGAATAGCTACTTCAATTGAGTTTTATTGACTGCTCTCTCACTAACAGACCGAGAAATTTATTTTCGAAAACCATCCAAAGGCAAAATACCGCAAAAATCGTACTCTTCCAAATGCTTAGAGAGAAAATTACCTAAGTGTAAAGAGCATATTCTTTTCTTGCATTCACTGGGTGTGACACGACATCAGCTTTTTTCCAACGTGGCAAAAACGTTTTTGCTAAAAATTTTGAAAAGCGACCAGACTTGCAAAATGCTGTTACAGTCTTCAGAAATGAAAGCGAAAATACAAATGAAAAAATAATTGAGTACCCGCTTTGAAATGTCATGTTTTCTTATGAATACTTATAGTTTATTAAAAATAATACCAAATTTCCTTTCATCACGTCTCATTTTTCTTCCATAAGAATGTGCCAAATTCTACTAAAAATTTTAATGCTAAAACATATTTTAAAGAAAATTAGTTAAATCAACTAGATTTTTTTCAAATTTAACAAGTTTAATTTTATCGTTAAGGTTAAAAAAACAAAAAAAAAACAGTATAAAAAGTTTTAACACAAAAAATCACAAAACTTTAACTTTTTCTTTTGTGCTTTGTATGATCTTCTCGTTTTAAACGTCAACAGTAATGACCTAGCATAGTTGTGTCCCAAAGCCCTTGAAATCGTTCTTCAAGCTTCTTTACATTCTGGTGGAACCTCTCACCTTGCTCATCACTGACTGCACCAAGATTAGAAGGGAAAAAGAAAAGTGAGAATGAAGGAAGTGAATTTTTATATGCTTCTAACATGTCGTCAACTAACTTTTTCGCATTTTCGGCCCTGTGGTTCCCTAAAAACCCGTTAATAACTGCTTTCATGATAACCAGGCATCAAGTTCCTTGTCAGTAAGCTTTTTCTCAAAATTTGGGTCTTTCATCAATGTGCGTATTTGTGGTCCTACAAATATTCCTTCTTTGAGTTATGCATCACTTTACTTTGAAAATACTGTTTTAAACATAAAAAGCCATCTCCCTCTTTATTCATAGCCTTCACAAAATTTTTCATCAAACCAAGTTTTATGTGGAGTGGTATATGTTTCACATTAGATTTTCCACAAACAAACTCTGCTTTTTCTGGCCATACTCTTGTACTGTAGTACTTTTCTGTGGCTCTTATCGAATAAAAATGACTAAACTAATTTAAACAAAACAAAATAATAAAAAAGTTCAACACATCAAAAATGGTAATTATTTCGTCTACGCCTAAATTGAGGGTAATAGAAAAAATAATTTGGATTTTGGATGATGTAAGGCAGACCCTGGCTATAGCCGGGAAATTGCCACGTAGAAGAAGAAGACGTTTGTATCGACTTGGACGGAAACAGGTTATCTTATAAAGGTTATAAATTTAAATTAATGACTTACTTCCATTGATACTTCCCGTACAGCCAAGTATTAGTACACACAAATATAATTTAAATTTAAGCATTTTATTTATTTTATTTTAATTTATGCGAAGTGCTCTTCACGGAGTCTCTCCGTAGACTGATTGTGCTAGCTCCGCGGGCTCGGAGATTGAGATTTGACTCATATTATATGGGAATACCGGATTTGATACAAAGAGATATGTTTGTTTTATGAAACTTTTTTTAATAAAGTACTAGCTTTTGCCCGCGACTTCGTCCGCGTGGAATAGTGATTTCCGGCAGATTTTTGATTCTTCCTACATAGTTCCCGTTCTTGCGGGATTTTCGGAAAGGTCGAGTTCCCGCAGAATTTTCAGGATAAAGCCTATGTTTTTTTTTCGAGTTACAAACTATATCTGTACAATTTTTAAAGTACTTTAATTATTTTAAAGAACTTCTGCATATACTACATTTTTTGTTTTATTATCTTGTAGCAGAAGAACATATTGATTTTCGCCACAACCCGATCTTGAGAACGGTCAGCACTCGATTCCCGTTGCCGGTTTGCCAAAGTTCGGAAATTTTGTGAGGCTAAACGCTGCGAACGTTCAACGCTTGATTCCCTAGCACGGTTTTGTTCAGTAATTGCACTTTGTGTAGCCAACCTGTGCATATTTTCATCCTCAGTTTCATTGCTGCGCAAAACTTGCAGCCGCTTTGCAGTAGCAGTCTGCCAAGAAAGCTGAGTTCTTTTTCTCGGCATTATAGTGATGAAGAAAAAACGTAGACAAAGAAAACTTAACTAAAGCCTATCTCGTAATAAAAAAAAGAAACGTAAGATTAAGAAGATTAATAATTAGGAACCTAATTACTTTTGTTTTTAACGATTATGTGAAAAGAACAACCTTAAAATGAAAATAAGGTGAACTAACTTTATGCTTAGACTTAACCCTAATCAAATGAGAATAAATAGGTAGACCACACCTATATACAGGTTTTATCTAAAGCAAAAAAAAAAAAAATTGAAACTAAATACGTTAAACTAAATCCTAATAAAATAAGAATAAATAAATAAGCGACAGGTATTATGTACCTCAAAAAAATATATAAGAAACTAAATACTATTTTTAAAACAAACAATACCTACTATACTTATAGAAAACACATACTTATAAATTAATAATCTACATGACAACAAAAAAGTGTTATTATTGTGTAACTAAATACTATCCTAAAACAAATAAAGTACCTACTATATAGAAAACAACTACAAAATGAAACTACGTACATAAATATTTCTGTAACTTATAATTTCTGAAACTTATCGGAAATTAAGAAAACCTTAACAAAAATATTGATACATTCTGTTATAATCATCTGTAACATTCGCGGCCTTGTCTGGTGACAAGAAACAAAAGACCCAAGTCATGTTTTAAGACAAGTATGGAGATTTTGATGTGGACAAAATATACTGTTTTAAATTTCTCAAACTGAATGGTTCAACATTAAACTTTATTATTAAATAAATGATGAAAGATTTGTTTAAGTTTTCTTGTAAGTGTTATTGAAGTATTAAAGCAATACAGATAAGAATGGCTGCTCTATGTATGTCCTAGATTATTTAAGATATTTATTTTTATGTGAAGGGTAGCAAAAGAGCAGATTGATTGGCAATCATTAAAGTCACCCATGATCCGCAACATCTCTGTTGCGGATTCATTGGCAACCTTAGTTGTTGAAGAAATGGAAGGGGAGGGAATAAGGAAATAGCAGATAAGGGTGGAAACAGGGAAAGTCAACCGGCTCTCTCACTCATCGGACGGAACGCAGCCATTAAATATAATTTCACGCCGATCTTCTGTGAGAGGGTGGTACTTCCCCGGTCGAGCCAGCTCATGTTCGAGATGTAGTTACTTGACCACAGCTAGGCTCTACTGCCTGGAAGGTTATATCGCTGTTATCATCAAATAAATACGATGAAACTAGGCAAGAATAATTGCTATTATTTGATAGAAATTGATATAAGTTCCGTTTATACCGACCTAATCAAAAATGAGAATTGTTAGAGTAATAATTTAAGAAAATAAAGATTTTTTAGTTAAGAAATACGACTTATTGTCACTTATATTATCAAAGTCTTTAAAGGGAAAAGTAAATAAAAATTTTCTTTAAATTGCCGCGTTAAAAAGTTTCATAAATTGTTTACTGTATAAGCTGCTGTCGAAGAGAGCATGTCAAAGGTAATGTGACAAAATATTACGATAAGTTTTATTTTATTTTATGATACTTCTATTTGGACTTGGTTCAATTATTATCATTCTTATTTAAAGGTCATGGTTGTTTTGTAAATACAAATACTAATATCACCAAGAATCAAAGTATTAATGCTTTTAAAAGCTTTTAATAAAGGTTTCAATTTGATCTCAACATAAGTACACCTAGTTGATCCCTTTAATGTTTATTATTCAATGGGAAGTATTTTATTTTTAAATTGATATAATTATATCGCTTTCTTTATCTACTCGTAGTTTTTATTAGGACCAAAAAAATATGAGCATTAAAATTATCTTTTCTGTTTTGGTCAATAAATTAATCGGTATTCCCAATACATTATGCTCATTATATGTAGGTTATCTAAAAGTGATTCTAATTGGTAAAAATAGATTTCAAATACATATGAGGTTTTTTTTAAAGTAGTTAACCCAATATATTTCTATAGTATGAGGCAACTGGACATTCCCTATCGATAAGTTTTAAAGAAATTGGTGTTCTCATGGTTTCCCTGCAGTACACGCGTATATAAATACATGTATATCGTTTTATTTTTTAGCTGGAGAGCTAGTGAACCCTAGGAGTAACGGTTTCCCTGTAAGGTTAGAATTTTTTATATTTTTATAAAAAAAATAAATTATTGCAAAAATCGAGTGTATATCAGAAAGCATTCAATGAATTAGGAAACGCAGG